TTCCATTCACATCAAACTTGATGTATTTTCTTGATGCTCTAGGCAGTGTACAGTCAACACATTTCATGTTTCAACTAGCTAAACCTGTATTTAATGTACATGGGTCATATTTGTCTGCCTTCCAAAGTTTTCTTCATTTGACATCAAACTTGATGCGTTTTCTCCTTTCTTACAAATTAGATGGATATTTATTGTTTGCATTCAATGTTGTTTTCCCCCCTAAACTCCTGACCTATGCTTCTAACCCTGAAACATTATCATGAAAAAGATTTATTGCAAAATGAATTGCGTATTCATTGACCATTCTTACAAAAATGGACTTTGATCTTCTCGTTGTAGTGCATTATGTTCATTAGTTACTTTAGTCAAATTAGCAAATAATCAAATCAGTATGACACGTCTCATATACACAAATGTAATGTGTCACACAGTAATGTTTCTGAGGGTTGTGATCACAGATCATCACTGCTGTTTTCATATCAGTAGAGGTCCCTCACCAGCAAACATGTACAGTACATTGCAATGCATTCATGTTAATTGCATCAAAAAGTGGACGGTAGTTTTCACACGAAAAAGTCATTAATCATAATACCTGGCTGATGTAAAAATGTATTGTCTGGCTCACAAATCATCACAAAACAGGTGTTGTCCTTTCAAACTATTTTTGTACTCACTGCAATGAGCTAGCAATACTGCCAAATATTTTGCAGATGAGAGCATGTCCAAATGTGGACTGTTGGCATCTGACGGACTAACTCCTTATATTATATTATATTATATTATATTATATTATATTATATTATATTATATTATATTATATTATATTATATTATATTATATTATATTATATCAATCTTACTATATCATATCACATATCATGTATCCAGTGGTGGACAGTAACGAAGTAAATGTAATTCGTTACTGTACTTAAGTAGCTTTTTTGCGTATCTGTACTTTACTCAAGTATTTAAATTTTGGGAAACTTTTACTTTAACTCCACTACATTTCAAAGTCAAATATCTTACTTTTTACTCTACTACATTTTCAAAATCAGTCGTTCCTTTTTATTTATGAGTGGATAAAAACGTAACTGGTCAAACGAGCCACCAATCACAGTACAGCGCACGCGCTTTGTTTTGAACTTGCCTTGGCTTTAATAAAAAAGTCATTTTAAATTGTCATAATATTTCACAATATTGCTGTTTTTTTTTGTGTGTGTTTTTTATCAAAAATTGCAGCCTTGGTGAGCAGAAGAGACTTCTTTTAAAAACATAAAAATCTTACCAATCTTAAACTTTTGACCGGTAGTGTATATATATATATATATATTTATATATATATATATATATATATAATATTTTATATATCTTAAGTACTTATATATAAAAGTACTTGGATACTCAAGTACATTTGAAGACAAATACTTTTGTACTTTTACTCAAGTGAATGTTCAAGGGCAGCACTTCAACTTTTATTTGAGTAATATTTTACTTTTATACTCAAGAACATGGTATGTGTACTTCGTCCACCACTGCATGTATCATAAAACGTATATCAATCATGTCATATCACATCAGTAATATATAGATGTGATCTTAGACCTTAAACCTATTGTTTGGGCTGTTCATTAATCCCAATCTTTTTATTTATTTATTTATTTATTTTTTTGCATCAAATTTAATATGGTGTCCTGAATAAGGTCTGTATAAGACTAGAGTTCAACCCTTTTGAGCCAAGCTAATCTGCATTATTGAATCTGCAGAATCTTCAGCATGGAGAAAGCACATGCAGGGGTTTTATGTTGCTTTTAGCCAGAGGAACAAACACTAAATCTATTACAGGGACAATTCCCTTGGAGCCAATCCGGTGTTCTGTGTCTTTGTCAAGGGCACAATGGTGATAGTCCAATGCATCCTGGAAATCAAACCAATAACTTAATGTGGTGTAAGCATTGTTCTCTTAAATCGCTCATTTTCCCATTCCCTAGATAGGCTGCCATGAGTTAAATTTATAGTGTGTAATCATCATTAATGCAAACCTGTATGATTTCCAATAATCTCAATCAAGATGATTGGCAGGATGTTCATGCTACTCTTTCCCTTGTGCATTGTAAGTGACCAGGAGCAGTCAAACTCCAAAAACCATAAAAGTCATGATAGTCCGTACAACTCTTGTACTATTTTTCCTAGTCCTAAGATAGATTTGTTTGAAAAACAAAACAAAAAAAGTTCTTTACTGAAAATATCCCGCCTGCTGTCACATTTGAATGTAATGTAATGAATGATATTTCACAGTTGTCTCACACGAAAAACGATAGTATGACTTCCCGGTTGACCGCTTAGTCATACAAGTTAGTGTACATTTTTTTTGTTCATAACAAAAGACTGTTCATAACTTTTTAAAGTCAGTAACATAACAACGCATATTGGCCTAATTTGATACGAAAAAGTAAGACTAACATTATATAAATGTATTTAATGTTAACCCTGTCTGTTTTCTTTTTCACCACGCAAACATTTTTACATTTTTAAACATGAAATCCTATAATCAAAACTGAAAGTGTATTCTCAGAATACTTAAGAAATGAACATGAGGTTAATTTTGTGTGCCACAGCAACCAACATATTAAATTGATCAATTACTCCAATCATGAGGATATTCGGGTTTCACTTATTTTTATGGTCCGAGGTTGTAACAATGGGATTCCAGCACCTTCAGTAGACCCCTAATAATAGCCCTTCCCAGTAAAAAGGCCTAAAACATGTGTAGCTACTCCAAAACAAGGGTGAAACTAAAATGCAGCCCACTGGCATATAAAGGACAAACTAATGGGCCCATCATGTGCGCACAACTGCAAAGATATAATGCAATAGCTGACAATGAGATACTGCCACGTGAACAGAAAGATGCATTCATTGCTATGAAACTCCCACATACATTTTCAAAGCACATTTGACTGTTGAAGGAAGGCACGACAAGATTACGTCTAGTTCAGTTAGGCGATCGGTTCTTTATAACTACAGTAGTACGTTTAAAGGGACACTTCACCCATTTGCATTAAGCTTTGTATCTTTAGAAACCATCTTGTTTGGAAGCTAAGCTAACAAGTGCTGTGGAGATAGGAAGTATGATAATGATGGAAGAAACTAAACATGATTTCAAGAATAGGATTTGGAAATTCTACTACTCGAATCCGATGTTCGTGGCTGTCTTTACGAGTCGCAGTACAGTGAAGAGCAGTTGAGGCTGATGGAGGAACTGGAGGCGGCTGCCTGTCGAGGAGCCCGGACTGGCTCGAGCTGGGTGCTTGACTTGTGCTCTCGCTGCGCGCTACGGAGTCGGTCTTCTGCAGCAACATGACATCATGACTTTTGCGTAAACATATACGCCACTTTCAAGTCAGGTGGCGTGTTATCTCCAAGCATTTTGTGCTATCCGCGTGTATGCGTATATGTCTACGCCATTAACGTCTGAACACGCAGTCAAATCTCCAGTCATAAATGCCATTAACCCCAGTGACGGTTAAGTTTAGGGATGGGTTTGAGGTAAGTCATATCTTTTTTTTACCTAGGATGGTAAGGGAATGGTCATAAATGCCATTAACCCCAGTGACGGTTAGGTTTAGGGACGGGGTTGAGGTAAGTCATATATTTATATAACGTTAAGTCAACGGCGTTTATAAACACGCTGAAACGCGATTATGCGTCTTGATAGCACGCCAAAAATGGAAATACGAATTGGCGTGTCATACACACGCTATTTCATGAGATCAGTCTGGCTGCAGAGACTTTCAACGATGGCAATTTCTCCTGGACGAAATCTCTGAATCAGACGAGTACACGGACGTTTGTGTTGTGATAGTTTCGCCTGACTGAACATCCAGGTATCATGCAGTAATTCACCATATAGAAATAAATACAAAAGAGGAGTAAGTTAATTCACTAATGAGTTTGCCAATGTAACGTTAACGGGGTTTGTTGTTGTGGGAAGGAGGAGGCAGGAACCAGCGAACATTGAAATATTTTAATAGTAAAACGAACAAATACAAAACAAAAGTATAAGCCAGTAGCCACTCATTGTCAACTGCCGTAATGTTGCAACAGAAACAAAACAACATAAAATCAGGCCTGTTTCTCTCTCGATCTGCCGTCATCGCTCCTCATTTTATGCTTTCGCTCCTCCGTGAGAGACGCGAGACGTCCTCTTACGTCGCTCACCCTCGATCGCCCTGCTCGCTACAGCCAACTAACTAGACATTTTGTGTGAAATGAATTTCAAACTGTGGTGGTGACAGCTAACATTAGCCTTGTAGACGGAAGAGTGATTTCTCTGTTTGCGCTGTTCCGGATTAGTGGGTGTGGCTTGCGGAGGTGAGCAATGCGGTGCATTGTGGGAGTTGTTGTCTTGCATACAAATGCGCCCCTTGTTTATTTTCTGTCTTTTCTCTGTCAAGAGGGCACCAAATTCAAAAATTCTTTTACAGTTCAATTACATATATGATCCACTCTCAATAAAGATTAATCTTGAAATGGGTGAAATGCTTCTTTAAAATAATAATTTCTGCGGTTAGGCTATGCCTGTCAGCCGTAGGCTATGTCATCACTCACATGCCTGTGTGATATATAGCCTACACTCTCTAGTCAAAAATGTTACAAAAAGTAGACGCATTACGATTTTATTTTATTAATTCATATGTTTACTGAATTTTATGTAAGGACTATAGCTATTGCAGATTGGGCTCATTTAAACAAATTAATTTAAAAAAAAATTAGCCCCCTTAAACCATGGACAAGAATTCGTTTACATCTGAAAATATTTTTACAATATAATTTGAAACATTATTGTTTTACGGCAATAAATGTAAAAAGTATAAACTACCTTGCGTCATTTAGCCGAAATAAAATTGCCACTCCAAATCAGCTGCTCCTGCTATCGGCTAGGACATGTCTGTAGACCTCCCACTTAAACGGTGTCGAGAGAGAGAGGGATAGAGAGAGAGAGATCCAAATAAACCAACCAACACGCAGCTTCACTTTGGTTGCTTTGAGGAGGTGGTGATAAAGTATCCTCGCAGAATTTTACTAAAGAGAGATGGATAGTGACGGCGGAGGAAAAGAAAAATGTGGTCGATAATGTTTTAACCCGAAGGTTTTGACGACTGGTGGGGACAGGTAATGTGAAAGTAACCCAGTGGAAGGGGTCTTTTTCATGTGCTTTATAACGTAACGTTACAGTTGTTTTACCACAGTGCTAACGTTAATGTTCAATCTGCGCGACTAACTAACTCTGCGCCGGTAAGCCAAACATTAAATGTATGATGCTTTTAAAAGAGTACCAATGTTGTGTGCTTGAGAATGAGTTTTAGCCCGTCTGGACTGTGTTTGTGCGTGGCTGGCTAGCTGAATGAGCGCAAATAGGCTGCTTTGCTTTAGGCCCCTGAACACGTAAAGCGTTTCCTTCATATTTTCCACCATATGTAATGTATTCTAACCCTTTCTCCGTCTAGTCTCGCGTTTATGTTTTTTTTTAAATGTATCGAAATGTATCGGTTATGTTGTGTTTACCTTGAGAGCTACCATTGGTTTGTGTGTGAAGTAAAGGGGAGGGTAAACCGTTAGCCTGCCTGCGCTCCCAGTCTGAGAAATGCAAACATGCAGTATCTGGACATCACCGTCCCATTATCACTCCGACTGGGTCCGACATCTGCACACTTTAAGATAGATTAAACATTATCACGCTGTGGTGTTACTGCGAGTCAGTTATGCTTTTTGACGAACTGAGAAAAGCCAGATAAAATCGAGGAGTGACTACCATAACATGGATCTTGAGTTTCACCTCTTTCACTTGTTTTAAATGCCACGTTACATTAGACTAATAGGGGGATTTATTGATACAGTGCGACAAACAAGTAATATTTCAACATGTAATTGTTATCTACACAAGTGGCATTTATTTGGATTTTAGGGCAGCATTAAAATAGGTTTTTAAGTGATTAAACTATTTACTCCTTTAAATGAAGATAAAATGTGTTGACACTGTTTGGGCATCAAATGTTAGTGAAACATGTTTATGGTTAATGTGATGAATTTTCCCTGCGGTTACTGTGCTGGAACACCTGTATTAACTATGATCTTCTTGATTTATATTTTCTGTATTTGTATGTTTTTCTCAGGCATTGAGGAATACAATCTCTAGCACTTTAATCTCTATCACTTAATGAAGTTTCAAATTATTGTTGTGCTGCTCATATCATGACAACAATTTTAGTGGGTTTGACCAGTTATCATGAGACTTTGATAAGCTATCATTGAGTTGACAAAGCTATTATTGAGTTGTGTACATTTCATTAATGTTTAAAAAGAAATTTTGCAAACGACAGTGGGGAGTGTGGGGTAAGATGAGACTTTTTTTTTTTACTTTAGGTAGTAGTACAATGAAAGTATCTAAAGTAATTTCAGGAAGTTTCTTATCAATTTAAATGATCAGAATATATATATATATATATATATATATATATGAAGAGTTCAGATGCAAAAGCCTCTAAATGCCATTTGAAATTTTCTTCTTTAATGATGATTTTTATCAAACTTGTATATTTAAGTTCAGTAATTTCACTTAAATAACAATTAATAGATTATTATCATTGCCATTTAAGTGAAATCACTAAACTTAAATATACAAGCTTGATAAAAATGATCATTCTAGAAGAAAATTTCAAATGGCACTTAGAGGCTTTTGCATCTGAACTCTTCATATATATATATATATATATATATTCTGATCATTTGTATATATATATTCTGATCGCTGTGCAAGAGAGGGGTGTGATCAGCGCGTACACGAGCGTGATTGACACTGCTAATAGATTATATATATCCATATCCACCTCAGAACTCAACTGAGGTGGACGATGACTGTTTTCTCCAGAACGGATATATATATATATATATATATATATATATATATATATATATATATATTTATTATATAAAGTTTATTATATATTATTATGTAAATGTGTGTGTATGTATGTATATATATATAATATCCGCTCTGGAGAAAACATTAATGTCATTGTCCACCTCAGTTCTCATATAATGGTTTTAATGCAGGCAGGCAGATCTATAATATTGTTGAATATTTAGTGTCGTGTCCCAAACTAAGCAAGCCAAAGGAGACAGTGGCAAGGAACCAAAACCTTGGGAGAAACCAGGCTCAGTCGGGGAGCCAGTTCTCCTCTGGCCAATGAACGAACAGTGTATGATTATGATTCGGGCAGCATAACAGATCAAATATTCTGAATGTTCTGATACAATCTGACTTCTATCTAGTTCCATCTGGTTGAAGATCGGAGTCATTACAGTATGGAAACGGGTTTGTTGTGGATCAGTTGTTGTCAATGAGGTCTTCACAGGATATAGTCTAGTTGACACAATCTCTGTATTATATAAGTATACACAATATAAGTATTTGGGAACAGTGTTCGATAATAAGTTAAAGTTCTGAAGTAATTGTCAAAAAGTCGCACCAAAGACTATTCGTGCTGAGAAAACTGAATTCTTTTAATGTAGAGAGAGTTGTTCTTAAGTAGTTTTATAATTCATTTGTTGAAAGTATCTTGTCTTTTTCTTTTATCTGTTGGTTTTCATCATTATCCATAAAGAACAAAAATCGGTTGCAGGTATTGTGAACATGTGATCTAAAATTATGGGTGTTCCCCTACGAAGCCTTACATCTTACTATAAACAGCAGGTGGTAAGGATGGCTCATAAAATAATAGGACATAGTACACACCCGTTCGTTGCATTTGGACTTTGAGTGGATGCCCCTTGAACGACGTTTAAGGGCAATAATTAAATGCTCTACAAATCGCTACTTATCACTGCTGACATTTCAGGGATGCGTTGTGGTCGTATCTGGTCATTGAATGCGAGCTCTAGTTGAGCTTGCATACTGGGGAGCTAAACAATTTAGTGCTTTGTAATGGTGCGTTCATTTGCTATGGTAATTATGGTAAATACCAAAAGCCAACATGGAAAATGCACATGAACACCCCCTCATGTGGTATTTACCACTGGGCAACTCGTAGAATATTTTGATGGACGAGTTGCCGAGATGAGATAACCTTTGACCATTTCAAAATGGCGGAGAGCACCGCGAGAATTGTGAATGGTAAAAAATATATACTATTCATGATCTAGAAAATATACAGCATATTATTTATCTTTTGAGTTTTGATTAATCATTTTCTTGCTGTTGCAGATGACTTAAGCAATCTAAAACAGTTTTAGCTAAATGACAGGTCTGGATCTCCATCTTTTTACCACATTACGACAACAAAAGCACTTGAACGCAACACACTGGTAAATACCAGTTCACAAGTGGAAAATATCCTATTTTCCATAGCACGTGTGAACGCAGCATAAGTCATTAGTGCTTATGTTTTAATATGGCTAATATGGTCATGCTTCCTAGTTCTAAGAACTCTAGCTGCTGTGTTTTGGACCAGTTAGAGTTTATTAAGCGTGCAGGGCAACCAACCAGTAGAAAATTACAATAATTTACCCTTGTGATCACAGACACATTAACTAACTGTTTTACATTTTTATTGAAAGCATATGTAGCATATGTTGTGCGTGAAAATCCCAGTAACTGAGCGGATTGTGAAATACTCGGACCGTCCCCCGTCTGGTACCAACAACCATGCCACGCTCAAAATTGCTTAAATCTCCTTTCTTTCCCATTCTGACGTTCAGTTTGGAGTTCAGGAGATTGTCTTGACAAGGACCACGCCCTTAAATGCATTGAAGCAACTGCCATGTGACTGGTTGATTAGATAATTGCATTAATGAGAAATTGAACAGGTGTTCCTAATAATCCTTTAGGTGAGTGTAGTTCCAAACAAAATCACAGCAAACACGGGTGTTTTGTTTATGAAAGAATCTGCGTTTTCAAATGAATCTAGTGAGTCAATGATACAGTGAGCGATTCATAAAGACACACAAAGAACAAATCAGTTGAGTGAATGATTCAGTGACAAAGAAAGTCCCTGCATCTCAATTCGCCTACTTATACGACACCCTAAAAGTATGTACTATTTTTGTAAAGAAAAAAAAAAGATTATTTTGAGTGTGGAGTAAAAAATATAGAATACTATCACGTCATACAATAGCGTCTTTAACTGTTGCTCCTGTCAAAGTAAACTACCCTGTCAATCATCTTGTCACAGTTAAAATCCTCCACATTTAATGTAATTTAATTTCCTACCGTATCGGAGAGAAATACAGGAGCGCGTTGATCTGCAGTAGGGCTGGGCGATATATCGAATATGTACGATGTATCGTTATATTTTTTGAAACGATATGGAATGAGGCAATACCGTTTATATCGATACAGTAGTTTGAGATGAGCACATCTGAAAAATAGCGGAGGTTGCAGTGTGAGCTGCTGCAGTGAAAGTAGCTAGGCTACGTAGTACAATTTGTCCTAAACATGACACAAGCTTATATTAATTGCGTCAAAATCACTTTGATATAGTTAACAAGTTTAAGGCAGCTTGCCGCCCTGTCAAATGCTCTGACAGACACTGTTGCTGACTGACAGATACTTGCGCTGTTTAATGCGTTTGAGATGTGGTGCTTTCCTCAGTGCTTAACTTACATTTCACGTATTCTCCATCTGTAAATGTTAGAAAGTAAAGCAAATATGTCCATTTCACAACAAATATGTCCATGTCAGAAGAGGACGAGCTTCTGCAAGTGAATCTCCGCTAAAATTCATGCTTCCTTGAACGAGCGCCGGCGCGCGCATGCGCGTGAATAGTACTACGTAGTACGCAATAATTCTGACTAAAATAAACATATTGCTAAAATATTTGTTGTTGGAGAAAATAAATGTGCCATATGTGGAATTTTAAACCTACAAGTATATATTTTTAATGAAAGTGAAAGTGATTATAATGGGGTAATCAAATGCAGGCTAATATAATTAGTTTGTGCTTTTGTTTTTGTTTTTATTTTCATTTTTAGTTTAGCTTTTAGTCAATATAAAAACAAAAGCTTTTTGCACATAATATATTGCATAGCCTATATTATATTTGTTTCCATATCCTTCAATATCAACATTGTTTGTAGGATATCATTGGGCCGAATGTGAATATATATATATATATATATATATATATATATATATTTAAATATAAAGATTTTCTTTATCTAAATAGAAAACGTAGAAAGTACCGAGATATATATCGTATATCGCCATTTGACCAAAAAATATCGAGATATGATTTTTTGGCCATATCGCCCAGCCCTAATCTGCAGTCGAGTGTCTTTCATGCGGAGAACTCTCCTTATATTAATGAAGAATGATGCATTTAAAAGTTAATGGCCAAATGGATCTTTATAAAAGTCCACATTTTTTTGCAGATGTAATATAACACGTATAACATTAAATAAAAAAATATATATATATATTTTATCAGGTTAAACTTTGATTAGTCACTCAAACCTTTATCTGAATACATCACCGTCGGACGCGTATATCCGTCAAGTTTTGTAGTTTGGCGTTGGGTTGTGGGCAATATTGACCTTTAGAGTGAGCACGGATCCACACTTCGAAAATCCACCAAAAATAGTAGACCACCTGGGGACTTCTGACATACTCTTTTCAGCGTACTATGCTTTGGGACATTTTACTATGCAAGTTTAAAAAAGATTGATTGACTGTCACCTTTAGTTAATTTAATGCATAATTGTTGAATAAATGTATCAATTTCTTGAGAAAAAAAACGTGTGTGTAAAAAGAAATTTCCTCAGCTGACATACTGACTTAGGCCTATGTACTTTTAATAATGAGAGTCTGTCTGCTTGACTGCATGCTGTGAACATGTGATTCAGCTTCCCTGACTTTTCTTTCCCGTTTCTAGGTGATGTAAAAACACGGTACCATGTGAATGGTTGAGGAACATGAAGCCTGCACACAAACTACTGTTCGTCCTGTGTCCCATGCTGGTCTTGGGGTTCATCTACTACTCTTCTGGGAAGCTCCGTTTGCACGTGTGGGGCCAGAAGCCACGTGAGTAGTTCTCAGGCCTCGTATTGCCATCTATCTGTAAAATGTGAGTCCGGTTGTTGTGACCTCTCTGTACGTGGGCGCCTTTTGCTCAGTCAATATGTATGTTTGCCACAGTTTGTTTGTTAGATCCTCTGGCAGTTGAATTATTAAGCTTAACAGTCCGCTTGCCTGCTTGCTTGGTTGTTTAGGTCAGATCACGTCTCAAAGTGATTAAACTTGTGTGGGTTCACCGAGTTTGCAATACCTTGTGTTTTTAGTTTGCTCAAAGTGGTGTTATTTAATTTTTTTATTTTTTATTTTGAATTGGCTTTTATTTTTATAATGTTACTTTTCATGTTAATTTTAGTGTTTTTGTCGTTTTAATTGTTTTTAAAAATATATTCCTTAATTTATTTTTATTTATTATCTATTTTCAGTTAGTAATTTTAGTGCTTCAACTTCAAGGCAATATTTCTAACTTTTGTTTAGTTTATGTATTTTTTAAGAATGATTTATATTTTATCTTATTTTAGCTTTTGCTTTTAGTTAACACTAATAGTTTTATATTTTTTTTAGTACTATAACCCAGGCTTCATTTGACTGTAGGGCAAGAATTAGGAAAGGTTCTCAAATATCCTCCTTTTCAGTTATATGATTAACAGGTGTGGTGGGGATTTTCGCGGCTAAATATTTGAGTCCTCCCTTTATAATCACTACAAGTGTCAGTCTCTAAACCTCAAGCTTTCCCTATGGGTGCCACTGTACAACAGGTCAACAGGACTTCAGATGAAAACTAGCCCTTAGCTAATTCTGGCATGTTACAGGTGCACTGTCCTGGTAAATAAAAAAAGCGAACTGAATTCTGCGCTCTCATGAGAACTTAAATGCACGATTCTGGATAAATTGAGGAATAAAAAATGTGCAAATGGGTCAGGACCGGCCCTGATTGGTTCGGTGGGAGTTATTATAATGGTTGACTTTTGTTGGCTGGTGAAAAGGTCTATATCTGCATTTTCATTTTAGAGTGTCATGACGTCGAGAGTGCATGACGTCACTGTTTTCACAAATTCAGGTTTTGTAGTTTACATGGAGACGATAGCATTATTATTTTTAAAAACATGCACTTTGAAACAAATTTTGAAACAATTTTCAGGCCCCCAAAACACTGTTGTTGTGTAAATGAATGGCCAAAACACACACACAAAAAAAACAGTTTGCTCTTTTTAGTAGCAAAGGCCGTCGTTTAAACGGCCTTGATTGGAAAAGACGATGGAAAAGTTTGCCCTGATTTTGCACAAAACCAACATTCCTTATCAGTTTCAAGAGTGATTCCATTCCTGTTATCTAGTTATCTACCTTGTTTGTTTAGGCTTAACAGATCCGCAGAAGAGGACAACAACAAAAAGAAAAGAAAAGTATGAAACGTTATAAAGTTTGTAGTGCAAAGGTTATTGATTTGAAGTTACCCACATTACCTCTAGACCTTTATACTTTTTGTTGGCATGTATTGCGCAAAAACTGTGCAAACATATGTTCAAAATATTATGTTCAAAGTGGTGTTCAGTTCCATTTACTTTTTATACATCGAGAGAGGAAATACTGTAAATGTAGATATTTCTTAAAATCCAGGACTGTTAATATTAAAGAGCCCACCAAGAAAATGTTTCAAAATGGTATATTAATTAATTAATTAATTTATTTATTTATGGGATTGTTTCAACCTTTATTTATAGGTCCAGAATCAGGAAAGTTGAGAGACAGTAAGGTGAATGAGATCTGGGACCAGATCCATAAACATAGTCATTATGGTAAGACTGTCTATTATGGTAAGGGATAGTTCACCCAAAAATGAAAATCTGTAAAATCTTTAATCCCTCATGTTGTTCCAATCTTCGGAACAAAATCAAGATATTTTTTATTTTTTTTACTGCTTTTTTTCTTTGCATGATTGTGTTTATGGGGTGCAATATAACATGTATTCGTGGTTTTTCGTTTTTAAAAAGTCTTATTTTTCATAAACTTCACGTTTATTGTCAGCCGCGCTCTCCTCTGTCCTCGAACGAGCGGTTGACTTCCTGAGTCTATGAAACCACTCCCTCAGAAACACGTCGTGGGCTCAGATTGGTTAGCTTGGCCCGGTGTGTTGTGATTGGCTAAACTGTCGCTTACGTTGTCCGGAAAGTTAACGCCCATTACCTTTACGGGCACGTCATGAGCTCCGGTCCAGATGTAAATATGCGTCGAACTGCAGTATCAGTTTGAGGCAGAATCAGACCGAGAATGCCGCGATGAAGCGAGTCAAACAGAACCTCACCACACACGGCTCTTACTAAACCTTTCTGAATGATAATTTGCTACATTTTTTTTAACTTTATACACGTTTGTTTAACACAATAGCATCTGACTGGCAACAATAGCAACTGACTGGCTACTAATGTTATACTCAAACAGCGGTGGCAAGTTTACGTTCTTGATCAAATCGAAAATAACGTCATAAAACATATATACATGAAAAATACATTTACAACATTAGCACTTAATAGCACAAAATTAATGTTTGTACGGCGTTTGTCATAGACACAAAATAGCATAGCAAGTGGCAGCCTAGTGCCAATAAAGCCAGCACTGGCATTTGAAAAAACTAAAACACAAGGCTACGTCTGGAATTATATTACATGCAAATACATTTAAAATGGTTAAGTCTTATGCTACGTTCACACCGGACGCGAATCGCGCGTCAAATTCGCGCCTGACGCGTCTAGTTTGACGCTTGACCACTTTGTGTAATTCGCGTGTCAAGAGCGAAACTGGCGCGCAAAAACAAAAGTTTGAAGCGAAATTTACGCGCGTCAGAATCAAAATCCGTTGGCGGCCATTGTTTTTATGTCGACCGAGCATTCATCAAGAGAGTTACCGCTCTGTATTTACTCTGGAGAGCAGAACAGCGGCGTGGGGATCATCGTCGCCGTATATTTGTGTCCACCGGACCCTTTACCGTTTGGCGAGTTTCACCATTTGCTCGCTCCAGGAGCTTCGCTGGATGACGGTCGCTGTCAGCAGTACTTCTGCCTGTCACGCGTCCAGTTTGATGACATGTTGTCCCGCATCGGAGCGAGGATCACCCTCGCCCTCATCCATCTAATCTAGCTGTCATTTATTTTTGTTTTGATGATAAATAGAGCCAGCCTTCAAAAGTTATTAACCTGTCCTGTGATTTTTTTTTTTTTTTTCTCTCTCTCACGTCCAGACACGAATTTATGCACATATGTTGATTGTCTTTACAACATAATACTATTTCATATAATCTTGCTATGGAATGAATAACAATACAAAATGAACGTCTCGTATATAGAAATAATGTTTTAAGTGATAAAACATTTGTTTGTTGTGCATAATCCCACCATGCATTTAGTCATATTAACAAAAATAATTTATTGAAGCGTCCAGACACTTCACCACGTGAGCAAGCAGCTAGGCTCCTGATTGGTTAATGCGGCGCGAATTCAGGCCAAAGTTCAGATTTTTCAACTCGGGCGGCAGACGCGAATTCGCATCAAACGCGTGAATGCACAAATGGCAGTAACTGAATCATTCGCGCGTAACGCGTCTTCCGCGCCGCGCTCCACGCCTCATTCGCGCCGCAGGAATTTTTCACGCGCGGAAAGCGTCTTTGCATTGACTTAACATTGAAATCATTCGCGCCTGACGCCCTATTCGCGTCCGGTGTGAACGTAGCATAAGCCTACTTACAGGTTGTGGCCCAACAACTGCTGCCTCTGGTTTTAAAGTCGGAACTGCTTCATGTTTCAGTAACAGAATCCAGTGTTGAACTCGTGGAGATTCTGGAAGCTGTCTTCGTGAAATGCGCAGCACAGAGAGCTAGATTACGATCGTCATTTTCAGGAACATAATCAACCATAAATTGTATCCATTGTTGACGAAGTACAGCGTCCGTGGGAAGTTCGAAGACATAAGACCTGACAGCTGCGTGAACAACACACTCGACGAGCTGCTGGAGCTGCTGAAATATGGCCATGCCCTTTTCTGCATATTCCGGAGGGAGTAGTTGATGCAAATGTGTGGGTTAGTGACGTACCATAACCCAGCTGTAGTCCCAATCCAGTCGTTTTTGTAGGCAATATACTTCCTGATTTTTAAAAGACGATATCTCTGCTTACACTGAACTTTCAGCGCTGCAACTTTGCAGATACTGTTCATTCACCAACAGCAACATTACACACTATTTAAAATAAAAAAGTGAAATCGCAGTCAACCCCCCCTTTAAATCTGAGAGCTGTCTCACCCCTCCATAGGATTCTATTGTAATTGAAACTTGCCGGCCCATAGTTAAAATAGCCCAATTGGCTCAACCATAAGTTTATCAAGCGACGAGAATACTTTTTGTGTGCAAAACAAAAATCCCAAAAAAGAATGACTTTATTCAACTATTTGCTTCTATGTTGTGGTCCTCTGAGTGAGTTCCTGTAGTGTCACAGCCCAGCGCTTCTGGGTTGTACGAGCTCACTATTGGCCAGCATAACACGCATCATACACATGACCAGCGTCAGCCAATAGTGGGCCTACATTCTGATGTATAACACAGAATAAAAAAAATTGTCCTGTCCCAATAAAGTCGTAACTTTACACGAAATTAAATAAAACAGACGTGAATGAGTGCATGTTGGAAATAAAAGCGCTGAATTTAATTCTCTCTCTGTTGTTTTTGCTCACCATTAGTCTCGTAAAAAAAGTTTGTTCACATTGCTGAGCGCTCACTGGGTTGATGATCAGGAATGCTGATTTACTTGTTTGAAACACCCATAATTATATTAGCATTTACTATGTAACCATTATTTCTCTAATACACATCTAAATAAATACAGCTCTAGGGAAATGATTTATTATGTCCAGGAGCAATCGCAGTTGAGTATAGTTCTGTGTAAATGCATGGATAAACAGAATTATTCCTCATTAAATGCACATAAACCTTCTAAAACTGATATGACTTTGATATGACTCCCCTGTCAATAATTTATTTTCTCCATTTGAAAATATTAGACTTCACATTTATTTTGCCTATTGTTAACATTAATGTTGTGGCTGATGCTCATAAATTATATGTATAATTTATATATAAATGATATAAATAATCTAAATACTATTTTTGTTGTAATTTGAAGATTTAACTTTCAACTTTTTTTTTTTTTTTTTTTTTTTTTTTTTTTAAGATGACTGAAAAGAGGAAAAAGTGATGTATGGACTTACTTCACTTAGTCAATGGCAGGGCTGGCAGTTTGCAAAGTAACCGTGCACTTTTTTTTTTTTTTTGCCCCAGACCCCTTTATTTTTGGTGTATAAAAAAGTTGAGTTTTTTTGTATGTAAGGAGGGATTGATTGTTCTAAATAAAATGGTTTGTTCATTTCAGTTGTGTGTTGTAATAATTGTGTAATAAAAATATTGGTTATCGGGCACATAAACATGCAAATAATCGATATCAGTTTTAAAAAATCAATATCGGTCGATCACTAGTTTTAACGCTGTGTTTAATAACTTTCTGGGCCGGCAAGTTTCATATACAATAGAGGCCTATGGAGGAGTTAGACAACCCTCAGATTTAATCAAAAATATCTTAATTTTCTCTTCCGGAGATGAACAAGAGTCTTACGGGGTTGGAAAAACTTTTTAGTATCAAACAAGACCAATCTATGTTTTTATGTAACTGACTTTAAACAGTTCTGAACATTCTTAAAGGAAGACATGTGATGTCTATCTTGAAAGTCTAGTCTTTGCAGTTTATACAACCAGCCCCAGGTCAGGGGCAATTTGCATAAACTGCTAAGACTAGTCTAACAAGTTAGTCATCCATTTTTTTTTCTTCAAGACTGTTCATAACTTTTTTAAGTTGGTTACATAAAAATGTACATTGGTCTAATTTGATACTGAACAGTAGACTGATTACCCCTAACCAACTGCTAGTTGATCATACTAGTTCTTAAGTCACTGTCTTAACCATAGACTGTAAAAAATATGGACAAAGCGTCTGTGACGTCACCCATAGACTCTCTGAAGAACGGGTTTGAGGCTGTTTATGGGGGTATGGACGGTGCCATACTGGAAAATCTTGGCAAATACAAAAACAAAAGTTTCAGAAAGGATACAGAGGTGGTATGATGTGTTGTGCCAGATCATGGCTGAGATGTCAAATTCACTCGGCGCAGCCCGTTATCAGCTGTCAATCAAAAGTTAACCGCCCTTATTTGTCATACGTTTTATATCTAAATATGATCTAAACTAACGAGTTAGAAAAAAATGCACCCCCCTCACAGTTGTCAGGCACGCAGAACATATTGAAGATTACAATAAATCAGTCTCTAGCAGATTTGAGATGTATTGCAGTTTATCGCACTTCCGGGTAGGCTTCATCTTTCAGATTAGAATGTTGCCACTTGGTCTTAACATAATGGCTATGTTTATGCAACTGGCCCCAGGATATGCTGGACTCAAAACTGGGTCCCGAGCAACAGCTCTCGTCACAGGCGCTTTACAATACCTAGGTGACTTGTTGGTTGCAACATTTCTGTTTAAACATTAATGAAATTGTTTGTTGTGCACATCCCTAATGCAAGGTTCTTTATGGTCTTCCATTGGAACACTCTATTTTTAATCGGATGAATCCCAAATAAGGTACTTCTATTTGCAATCTTTCCTCATCCACTAGAGGGAGGGAGAGCACCACAGTACGGGTCCGATTCACAGAGGCCGCTGCTGCGTGATGATGGTTTATTAGACCAACCGTATGTGTATTTGCTGATAGAACCAAAGACTACATGTTGAAATAATAACCCCTGGTTTCACAGTCTAGTCCCAGACTAAAAAGAATTTTGGGTTGTTTTAACTGAAAACAACTTGCACTGAGATATCTTAAAATTATGTCTGTGCCATTGTTTTGTCTCAAGATGTTTTTTGACCTCAGAAGATTTATTGACCTCAGCAGCAGCAATGATAGGAGATCAACAATATGGCATTTGAATTTCAGACCAATGCTTTGTCTTCACAGCTGAGGCTTCGAACATTACTCCTGGTTCTGGAAAATATTGAGAAGGGTCAAAAACGGATCTTTTTAATTGACTCAAGGACTTTCAGCCCATAATTGTTGAAATATCCATAACTTTAAATCAAGTGCTGACTGGCTCAAGACTTACACATTGGTTTTTTATCTATTGATTGGAGTGATTACATGCAATATTCCCTCAATGTATCCCTCAAATCTTATGTCAAGTTGAAATGTTTTATATAATAATTTTAATTTTATGGATTGAAAGACTGATCTTGAGTTTCCCATGTAAATAGCCTCGATGCTAAAATGCTGTTAAAAATGTAATATACAAACAAAGAACATTTATAAAAGCTACTTAAATATCCTAATTGAACTAAGGACTAATCCTGACTTTCTGTGAAACCAGGCCTAAGATTTGTAAAAAAAACAAAAAACAAAGTGAGTATTTGGTAGCCACCAGTTGGATATATTAATAATATATTTATTATTCATTCATTTTGAATAAGCGGAGGGTAAAGGCTGGTTCACAAATGATTTGTAAGTTCCATACCACTGCCACTAGGGGGCGTGATGCGACAATTAAATCTTGAATTTTGGAGATCATGGAAAGGCGGCTTCAGTCCACACACACACATAAACACACAGCGTGATGTTTATCATGTACAGCACTAACACAAAAGTACTTTAGCATGCTGTTGGAAAATGGCTGGGATCGATGCTCGGTCCTGGTGCAGACAAGTCAAAACGGTCCCTGTGTTCCTGATCTGCAAAAGGGCCCGAAATATGTAAATAGTGTAAATATGATTGATGTTCTACTTGATAAGACAGAATAAAGTGTTTTCATTTCATTTGGAAACGAGTCTGTGCTATAGGTCGATGAAGAGGCAAATAACTATTTGGTTGCTACAATTATTTTGAAGTTTTATTGATTAATGGTTTCTCATTGGCGCTCAGAAACGCAGCTGAGGAAATGGATTTGGCAGGTTTCTTCATTTATTCCTCCCCTCATGTACAGTCTCTGAGATTATTTAGGGTTCAGCAAGCACGTTGTTCTCAGTTTGTTCAATTCATGTTTGCCTTCACTGACTTTGGTATCTTGAACCCCGGTGGAAAAAGTTAGATTAATTATAAACGGCACATTTCGACAGCTGCGCCCAGTTTATTTTGGAAAATTTTGTGAACCTGGGATGTTTTTTTTTTTTTTAAACCTCACCCCTGTTATGAAAGGCACTCCAGGACACATTTGTAAAGACAAATCACAATAAATGGCTCTGAAAATGGTACAAGGGAAGGAAACACAACCCTATTTTGATGATAAATGACATAGAGAGGGCAAAAACAATGTTAAACAACTAATTTTTTTTTTTTTCTTATAATCCAATGTTATTGAGCTCTAGAGAGTCTGCAAGGTGGTGAGCTTGCCTAGATCCAGATTCATAGCAGAGCTATTACACTATCTACTCTATACCGGACACGAGCCTCATGATGCATCCAAACTAAAAAGATCCACTAATAATCAATGGAGCTCTCTGCATTGAAAGTTCAGTTGGTTAAAATAAGCTAAAGTGTCCAGCTGTAGAGCTACGCTTTATTTTTCTTGTTCGTCTGAAAAAATTGTTTTAATCACATCTATTACGTTTTTGCTATGATTATGTTTATCCTTAAATAAAATAAAAGCTATTGATAGTGCATTGGGCAAGTCTCTGAGTTTTTGCAGAACTATGCCCCCTCTGGTGACAAGCAAAACTGCAACCAGATGTTTGCGCACTCATGGATCACACGCATGCTTGCACATAACCATTACCATTATGTCAAACTTAGCATGTGATTTCTGGCCTTCTAATTTAAATCATCTTCTGTTTTAAGCTAATTACGCTGTACTAGCAGTGGTGTAATATTTAGGCTACTATTCTAAAATAACTTGTTTTTATAGGCTCACAAATTTATAAAAAATGTGGGATTGTTTTACTTTTAATGTTGCTTACAGCTGATTGGTCCATGTTAGTGAATATTGCTTGTTGGGGTGGGCGATATACTGGTAGACATGATTAACTGGTAGGAATTTGTCAACCGGGAGAGATTTTGGTCTATCGTCTCTCTTCATTGCGGTTACGCACTCACGTGACATTGATGTGCTGCGCTGCCACAAAAGCTTGCTTGCGATTTTAAACAATGAAATTTAAAAACAAGTCATTTTAAATCACTTAAGCGCAAAAGCAGTGAAAGAAAACTGCAAGAACTCATTTCGGTATATTTCATATGGTTTCTGAGCTCTGTCTGAGAGATGCACATGAAGCCACTGCTTACTGAACTGAGGTCTTTTTGCCACCTAATTGGGTTTGAACGGTCATACACACACTTATGTATCAAAAAATGTTAGTTTTTGTGAGTATTCTTGTAAACGCAGTCATTTATTTCTTAAATGAGTGTAAACAGTTGAGAAAGCGTGCATTGGATCCGTGCATTTGGTCTTAAAGTGGCGGCAGCCTAATATTCCTGTTGCTGTTGGTGCCATTAATATTAATCAAACCACAAAAGACAGACATAATCACTCACTGCTCCTGGCTAAATCACTTTTCTAACTAGCTAATAAAAATACGTTAAAGTATGTTTAATTTGCACAGTGAAAACTATGCAGTGTTTTTTGTACATTTTTAAATACTTTTACAATTTATGTAGTATTTCTTATTTAGTGTTTGAATTTTTTCAGGTATTTTTTCACGTGTCTGTTCTATTGTAGTTTCTTATCCTGTTGCTTGTAATTTGTTTCTTTTTTCTTATTTTATCACTGACTGTTCACTTTTCTTTAGTAAGCTTGTTTTTTATATATATATATTTATATTGAAATTGCTGATGAGAATGATGAAATTTCAATGGTATCAAAAATTGTGATATAAAAACCTTATTTAAAGCAAAAAGAACTACATTGTGATATATCGTTATTGTAAAATAAAATCACTCCTATCGAGATAGATGGTCCTATCACCCACCCCTAATTGTGAGATGACGTGCTTCTTTGACGCAGTGGAGATATACAGTAGTGTTAATGTTCAAGACTCAAGTGTAATCGTTTTCAAAGCTGGTTTTGTCCATTTTGAAAGAATATCTGTGGCATAAAACCTGAACTTTCTGATGCCACTGTTTTCTAATGTGTTTTTGGTTTCTGCATGTTCATAATGTTTACCCTTATTATCTGTTTGATTTTTGCACATATGTAGCAGGTCTGCTAATTTTTAATTCTTTTGTTTCACAGACAAAGATGTGACGCCCACAGTAAAAGTCAGTAAAGTCACAAAAAATACTGTCAAATCCCCAGAGACCAAAGGTAGAAACTCTCCACCGCTCCTTCTGTTGTGGTGATATTGGGGACTGGTGAAATAATCAAAGGGCTCTCCGTTGGGCACTAACATCCTTATCCGTCTGGGCTTTTTTTAAGTATTATTTAAATAACCAATTTTACTGCACAGGCAGCTAATGGTATCAGCTGGAAAGTATGGTGATGGGCATCCTGAAATTTTCAACTTCATGTAATTCTTGGAACTAATGCAACTTTCTAGTTCGTACTGTTTGAAATAGGTTGGCGATTGTGGGTTTGGCCTGAGGGTCATTCAGCGTAACCTCAAAGTTTCCAGAAGATTGTGTCAAGGACAGAACCACGAGGCCTAATTGATGGTCTTGTGTTTCAGAGCCGGTGGTGGAGGGTCCTGTCTCCGTGGGACGAACAGTAGGCTCAGGTACAGCCTGCAAAGAGTGCACTCTGGTCAACATGAGAACCCAAGCAGTTATTGTGGGAGGCCTGGTAGTCTAGACATAATGTTCTTCAACTACATTACTCAAGAAAGACACTTTCACACCAAATGCTATATGAGAAAACAAAAAACTAACTAATGAAATGATTTTGCATCAGTACAACAGGTGGTGCTGAATGACAGCAAAGCTCACACCAGCCAGGACCGAGACCTGAAAGGTGCCCCGCTTTGTGTCTGACCAGTACCTTAAGGGGTAGTTCACCCAAAAATTAAGAATAAACCTCATTGGTTTTGGCAGAAGGATGTGCTTAGATTGTTAAAATATAGTGTCGGGCTCAAAACCTAGAGTATCTGCGTGCTTTACAACTTGATATGCACTGTTAAAAAATTTGAGATCAGTAATATTATACTTTTTTACGGTAGTAAAGCAATGATGCATGAAATTAATCAAAAGTGACTGGAAAGTTTTTTTTTTTTTTTTTACATTGTTACAAGAAATATATTTTTCAAATAAATGTCATTTCATCAAAGAATCCTGAAAAGGTCTATTAAGCAGCACAGCAGTTTTAGTAATATTTACTATTTTTTATTTAGTAAAATCATTTCTGAAATTGGATTAATGGTCTTGACATCACCTGAATAAATGACATTTTATAATAAATTCCTATAGAATTTTTTTGTTTTTTTTGTTTTTAATAACAAGTTAATAAAAAGTTTTTGTTTTTTGTAATTGTTTTTAATTTTACAATATTAGTGTAGATACTGTATTTTTGATCAAATAAATGCAGCCTTGGTGACCGACGACAACTTCAAAAAACGTTTCAAATGTCTTATTGACCCCAAACTTTTAAATGGTAGTGTACTTTATGCAATCAGTCGTTCTCAGATCTTTTTGGTTGGTGAGATTTTATCCCCAGGCGAAACAAAAGGTATTCAACAGACATTAAAAACATTGTCAGAGAAAGTTCATCCCTGCTGTGAATAGCTGCATAATAATCTTTCTATCCAAAATGTTGCATGTCATACTTGGTGTGAAAGAGTCTTAAGATAGTGTACATTGCGTAGTGTATGCCCTCCCCCCTAAAACTTTTACTGTTAAACTTTTTTCTCCGAGCACCAGGGCCGTAACCACCAAAAGTGAATCTCATTTATTTACAGTCGGTATTGTGCTTTATGCAGTCTTTTTTTTCCATAAGAGAGTTGAACTTGAACTTTAATGAGATGGGTGTTAAGTGTAAACAAAAAAAGTGCTGATTTAATCTCCTAGAGAAACGTATGAAATAAATAAATAAATTACCATATTTTTTTTTATATGACATCACTGATTATTTTCATTGTTTTATTTTTTAAATGGGAATTGTGATTGCATGATATTTTAAGTAAATGATTAATAGGGATATTTCCTTTTTATTTTAAAAGTTTTTTTGCATTACACATGAAACCAAGTTAAATCTATAAAAGAATATAACCAACTTCAGTATCTTGTCATTGGGATACACCAGTGTTAATTTTGACAGCAAATTTTGATTTAGTTTTAGTCTTAGTCTTTTGACTAAAATGCAATTTAGTTTTAGTCATATTTTAGTCATCTGAATTGTTTTAGTTTTAGTCGACGAAATTCAATATGATTTTAGTCGACTAAATCTACAGTAGATTTAGTCGATTAAAATATAATGGGTTTAGTTAAATTGTAATGCATTCATTTAGAATTTAGAATAGAAGAATTCTATTTAGAAGAATTACGGAGGAATTACTAGTAGAAGAATTATGGATAACCGTACCGAATAAAGATATTTTTTGCATCGTCACTCTTCTTCATATCTATATGTCTGCTCTACTCATTCTCCCAGACGTTCGCATTTTTTAACGTTTTATTATCAGCACGTTACAGTACAAATGTGCGCATCTACCACTCAAGCAGGAAATCAGTTCTGACTGGATCGCTTCCCAAATCGTCACTATCTAACATTTTCATCTAGTTTTTATTTGTTGACGAAAATGTCAATAGATTTTCGTTATAGTTTTTGTCATTCAAAATTAGTTTTTTTTAGTTATCGTCTGTGAAAAAATATCGTTGACGAATAATTTTCGTCATTATTTTCGTCAACGAAATTAACACTGGGATACACATGCCAACAACATACAATACACTATGAATGAAAAGCACATCTTAGCCTTCATACCTTAGAATGATGTCTTTATGACTATAGAAGAATGTGTTAGTTATAATATGAATGGGTTTTCACTCTTAATTTAGCAAAGACTTGCATTATAAATCAGTGATTTGCAGGCTGCTAAACTAGCCTAAACATATACCAGAGACACTTAGATTGTTATTTTTTCTGCAACCCACTTTACATCCCTGTGAAATTGTAATCCAAAACTTGGGCCTCCATCTTGAAAGGGTTAATGTCTGACCCCGGCGGGTATCTAAGAGTTTGCTGTGGTTCCCCAGTTAAAACACCCTTGGAGGGTCTGTCTTTGAATTGCCAACTGTGAATAATCCTTTTCAGCAGTGGTCACTTTCTAACCAGTTCCTCCTCTCCATTCTGCAGCATCTGTCTGGAGAGCATCCGTGGCGTTCTCAAACTCTCCTTTCCATGCCTTAGTGCCATATGATTAGCAATGCTGTCCTCGCTGATGCCTTTTTCAGTGTTGCTAATGAGAATGTAGCACCTGAATTAATGTTTTATTCCACATTTACCTGTTCATCAGTCATTTTACTGAGCCCATTATTTCAGTCTGCTTGGTAAATATTTGGTCTTTTGTTAAATGTTTTTTTTTTGTTTTGTTTTTAGTGGCACTGCTCCTCTAGCTATCGCATTAAGCATGCTTAAAGTTGAACATGTTACTGTTTGTATTGACCAGAAGGAATGAAGTAAGCATACTTGAGTATGCACAGCAGTTTTGGTTTACTGCTTTTTCATTTCCCCCTGCTCACACTTCTGTTTTTTTTCTCTCTTCTTTTTTGAAGGCTTAGCATCATTGACACCCCATAGACACCTATGGTCTAATGAAGCCCTCATAGGTGGAGAGCTGCTTTTTAACAATTTCCCGGTCGAAATGTGGAATGTTTTGGCTGGTCTAATCTTATATCGCTGCTGCTTCAGTGCACACTAAAATCCTTTAGATGATGAACTAACTACTTGAATGTTCATTTTTATTTACGTGTTTAGTGGTACAAAAATGCACCAGTTATGCATTTTGACATGATGGCATTACAAGTGAGGATTTACATTTCTTTTTGAGTTTGGCTTATGATGTTCTGAGTTAATGTTCATTTTCATCTTTCTCTTCGCAGTGTTTGATAAGCAAGGGTTCTTGCTGAATCTGGACTCTAAGCTGTAAGTATTCTGTATGACACAATCCCTTCCTAATTTCACCAATAGAGAAAATTTTCCACAAAATAATCTAAATGTTAATACATCGAACAAGAGCAAACAGCCTGTTAGTTTATCTAAAAAAAAAATATTTTTTATTTTTTACTATCATGATTTTTAGATTACATAAAGATTTTGTAGTATCAGATGCTGTTTCTTTTTCAGCACATTACCTTTCTACTTTCTCTTGTTCAGTTCAGTCGTCCTGAAGCGTAAGAAATTCATTTTTAAAAATGTAATGCTCAAATACATTGCTTATGAAATTAACCCCACACTTTTGAATAGTAGTGTTTAGTACAAGTGGTTGTTGCAATACATATTATATAGAGAAACATAAATAAATAAAAAACTCTTAAAAGCAATAAAGGCTTTTGCCCCCATTCAGTGCCATCAGAGCAATCCATTCGAGCGGACTCGTGTGACGTGTTGTGATGTATGATAGGTCTGTGTGTGGTAGGTATATGTTTACATTTCATCTTTGAAGCACCCAGACTCTCACCTCGCCCTAATTTCCCAGTGTTGAGCATCAGAGAAGGCATGTCTGTCCACACCATGCGCACGTACAATAAGCAAAGCCTTCGACAGGTTTAGATTTCATTGACGCTGTGAGTAAAAACTGTCTGTGTGGTGCACTTCATCATTCAGCTGGCCTCAATCCACCATCCGCGCTGCTGCTCAAAGACTCAGAGCTGTCACGACAACAAAATATGGCACTGTCCCATTGGGCCAACCACTTCATCAAAATGCCACTTCAGCAGATAAGCGTCTTGTGGGTTTTATTTTAACTGTTGAAAAGGCACTTAGTGTCGGACAATGTGATTTGATGTTGAAACCTGGGCATTTTTCGGCATTTTAGCAACAATGTAAGTTCGGAGAACATGTTTTTTTGGTTTGTTTTTTATTATTGCGTTACTGACTTCAGAAAAATGGACATAGTTATTTAATAGTGATTTTTAATCCAGTTTTTGAGATTAACACAGCTGATGCTTTAGATGACATTTAACAAGGTGGTCCAGCCAGCATGTGTTCATTCTCAACCACCTCCAGTCTCTGATAGTCCTGATTTCTCTCACACACACACACACAAACCCATTGGCCTCTCAGACCTGACCTGTGTCCTCTTCACCTGTTTATTTGAACTGCTTTCATTGTGAGCTGCAGGTTATTAATGATGCCACTCAATTTAGGTGGTAGGAGCGTGTCTGCTGCCCCCCATCCATTTAGAGGATTTCTTGATATTTTATTATTGTTACAACCACTTGATATATTAGATGTATAAATAATGTATGTCCAAAAGTTTGGGGTCTGTAGGATATTTTTATTTAAACTTTTTTTGAAAGTTTCTGCCACTGAATAAAAAATAAATAAATATATAATTGCGACTTTTTATCTGTCAATTGCGAGATATGAAATAAGAATTGTGAGAAATAAAGTCGCAATTGCGTGATATAAAGTCGCAATTCTGGAAAAAAAGACATAATTCTGCCTTTTTTCCTCACAATTGCGAGTTTACATCTCGCAATTCTGACTTTATAACACATAATTGGGAGTTTATATGTCGAAATTCTGACATCTTTTCTTAGAATTGTTGGATATAAACTCGCAATTGTGAGTTATCAGGCCAATTCTAAGGGGAAAAAAGATTAACTTTTTCCCCTCAGAATAGTTTGACTTTATCACGCATTTCTGACTTTTTAACACACATTTGCGACTTTATATCTTGCAATTCCTACTTTATATCTCGCAATTCTGACTTTATAACACGCAACTGCGACCTTATATCACGCAGTTCTGACTTTAAATCTCGCAATTCTGACTTTATATCTCGCAATTCTGACTTTATATCTCGCAATTCTGACTTTATATCTCGCAATTCCTACTTTATATCTCGCAATTCTGACTTTATAACACGCAATTCTGACTTTATATCTTACAATTCTGACTTTAAATCTTGCAATTCTGACTTTATAACACGCAACTACGACTTTATATCGGGCAATTCTGACTTTATATCACACAATTCTGACTTTATATCACACAATTCTGATTTTCTATCTCGCAATTCTGACTTTATATCATGCAATTCTGACTTTATAACACGCAATTGCGACTTAATATCACACAATTCTGACTTTATATCTCGCAATTCTGACTTTATATCATGCAATTCTGACTTTATAACACGCAATTGCGACTTAATATCACACAATTCTGACTTTATATCTCGCAATTCTGAGAAATAAAGTCAGAATTGCGAGATGTAAACTCGCAATTTGTGAGAAAAAGTTAGAATTGTGAGATAAAAAGTCGCAATTACCTTTTTTATTTTTCATTCTGTGGCGGAAAACAGCTTCCATAGTTTTCTGTTCATATAGTTTAAAATTTAATTTACTCTTGTGATGTTAAAAACTGAATTTTCAGCATCATTAATTTATTTGTTTAGGTCAAAAGAACAAAATTTTATTTGACCATAGTATTTTTTTGTAACAATGTAAAAAAAAGTCAGATTTAATGCTGAATAAAAGAGTTAATTTCTTTTTTTCTTAATTTTTTTAATCTTACCGAGCCCATAATTTCAATGTTGTTGTAAATATATCTAAATATAATAGAATGCTGTAAGTCTTTTAAAAAGAGGCCTGATTGTTCCAGGTTCTGTTCAAGTTTTTAACTTTTTTTTGTGCCATAGCGTCATACCAAATATGTTTGACTCGTGTATAACTCTACCCTGATTAATATGAAAACATTTAGATTAAAATTACATAAAAGAAAATATTGTAAGGCACCTACCATGGAGGCACAGTTTTTAAAAGTATAACCACAAGATTCCAAACATTACAGATGTTAACAAGACATGTGTTCAATGGCATTTCTGTCTCTAAAGCATTGTTTGCATTGTGCAAACCTCTGTCACGCATAACCAGATGTGTATTCATCTAGAAAAGTAGATAACTTTATAGTTTTAAAAATAAACTAGCTTTATGGAATAATTAGTGTAAGTACTTTACATTTCAGCTTTTAAACTACCTGGAACGCTGGCCCTGTTTAGTCAGAAATGTTTTCTGTGGTAACATCATACCACAAACGCTGTTTTTAAAGCGTTAGCTGTTTTGAGCTTGGAACATTCTTTCCGAACAAAAGTATGAAATAAACATGCTCACTGTTTGTGCGGCCAGCAAAATGTTGCATTCCTATTGTTTGACTCTTTCATTTATTTAACACATCAGCGATAAACGAAGTTTCATAAAGTAATCCATCACATCCTGATCTAGATGTCATCCATCATGTGTCAGGCGAGATAAAAACAATATACCTCCGATTCGCCATTACCCTGTAGCTGTAGCATAGTTATGCTGTCTGATAGTCCTGTCAGGTTTAACATTTACAACCCAAAATGAATTCCTCCTCTTTCTTCTCCTCTCTAACTGTCTACAGGCCTCCGGAGTTGGTGTACAAGTATGGAAACCTCAGTGAAGGGTCCTGCAAACCTGGCTATGCAGCTGCCAAAATGACTGCTATCTATCCAAAGTATGAACCGATTTGTTTTTTTTAATTATTATTAACATTGTGGCTTAATGTACATGTTGTTGCGCAATCTGCTGTTTTAAATTGGTGATGCGCTGATATTTAGGCCACTGAAAAACACTTTACGTTTCGGCTGAAATTAGTGCTTTTCCGATGTCTTTTTCGTGCACACATCATGTATAAGCTATAACAGGTTAATATGATCAGTATAACATAATTCATTATATTTTTTTACTTATCCTGGTAAGGGCTTGGAGCCAGAGGGGCGCAAGTGGCTTTTAACAAACTTTACAGGAGAGGCAAAACTAAATTTTTACCACACTTCAATCACCTGTATTATTAACCTTAAACCACAAACATTGCAACCACAGGGATACTTACAAGAGTATTTAAGTAAAAAATGCATGGCATATTAACACAATGATCATGTTCTAAACCATTTTCAAATAACAAAAAACGAAACTGCCTTGCATGAAGTTTAAATGTTTTTACAACTCCGTTTTTATTTGACTGTTCGAAATATTACATATTCAATGTAATAACCGTGTTGGTGTTTCAGTAAAAATAATTTGGTGCACCATAGTTAAAGCTGTCAGAAATGGGTGATATTGTTGAAATTAAATGGGAAAAAATAATAATTCTCCAAGACAAATGTCTTAATATAAAATGAATTGTTATTCAAAGTCGTAACTGACAGAAAAACATTCTTGTTGATTGCTGATATATGAATTGAGGTCTATTGCACTTGAATTTGCGCACTGCTAGATGTGGTTGTGTTTTGAGAAACGATATTTCATATTTCAAAAGGAGGATAATTGAAGATGGCAGATGGGATGGATGTTTGGTTGGAAGAACACAAATAAGCTTAGGCTGAATGCTGGGATTTTATTCATCTTTTTTTTAAACCTGCTTTTGATCTGTAAGGCTTTGCCATATTGAGCCCTCTGTCGTCTTCAGAATTAAGTGCAAAATCTGTGAATGGAAGACCGCTTTGTTAAAGATTCACTTCTTTAGTCCCGATTTGCCAAGTTCCTTGTGTATTCAACTCTCCCTGGTTTCGAGAGACACTATGTCACTTCTCAGCTACGAAGCCCCTGAGGCCAGTCTCATAATATCTCAGATTGAACAGAAAGCTGTTCCTCTGATCCTTTAAGTCCTTGTTAATTTGTGACCTGCCACAACAAACAACCACTTCCGCATGCTCGCCAGCTCCACAATGCGCCTGTTGTAACTCTTTTGGAAGTGGACAGGGATTCTGTCTTTGCGGCTGAGAGGAAAACGCTCTGCAAAGCAGCCACTGTGGAGATCCGAATGAGTCAACTTCTTCCATTTGACTAAATCCTCAGAGCGCTCCTCGACTGTCAATGATGTCACACAACACTCAGCGACCCTCAGTGACGCCATGACCCTTTGATGGAGCTTTCCATGTTTGCTGGCATCCATGTTCCATTGTTCCCTCATCTTTAGGATAATTCTCCTGCTGGCTATTGTTAGCACAAGTCATTTTTCCACTACAGCATGCCCAACGATGATAAACATTAAGCATCACGGTTTGGTTTGTTCATGGATATTTCTCTCATCGCCATACGATTGTTTAGAAATAGCTTTTCCACCAATCAAGCAAGATTATTATTTTGGAAGGGATTTTAGCAGCTATCAAAAACCAGTAACTATCACACAACAGCAACAGCAATATTTAGTCAGATGGTTGCCCTGGATTGATTTAAACAAAAACTGACTAAACAAAATTATTAATTTAGAGCGAGAGTGTAAAGAAAACTCAACAAGAATGACAAGTTCACGTTGCGTAAGATCGTTTTGTTTTGTTGTTATTTGTCTAGAGGCTGTACAAGCGTCAAGAGACTCATAAAGCAGAGCAATGACTGAATTGGTGCCTAAAACTTTTTAACAGGTCCCCCCAATTAATGGCACATGTGTTAACGGTGTCTACAATGTGCCTCTAATTAACATGTGATGGATCAAGGTTCTCAGGGTCTCTGTTTATCTTTCGGGGTCAAAAGGCACTGCTGCCACATCATTACAACACAAATATTTGAGCTTTTTTATTGCATGATAAATTATTTATAATGATGTTTAGGATACATTGATTCAGTTTAGATGTTGCCAGAATCACGGTGAACTAAAGTCGAAACATTTGATGTACTGTTTGAATGTACGAAATAGATGATTGTTTTCACGAACTGACAATGTACAACAATACTTATGAATGATACAAAAACTGTTGTTCCTTATTAATTCATGCTCATTAATAATATAAAAAGTAAAAAAAAAAAATAATGGCATTAGATTAATAAATGAATAATGAATCAAAAAGCATAGTCGTTTTGTAGATGGACATGTTTTAATAAAGGGATTCTCCACTGTTTTTTTCATATTAAAATATGTTATTCCCTTAACTAAGATGAGTTGATGCATACGTCTCTCGTCTCTGCGTGCGCGAGACACTTTGATAGCATTTAACTAGTCCAGTTCATTCAATATTGGCCAAGCAGAGAAGCGACCAAACACCTCCACGTTTTCCCTATTTAAATACAGTTACTCGAGCAGTGTAATTCGACCTAGGACGGTGACACAAAATAAAACGTTGCGCTTTTCTAAGCGTGTTAAGTGTATAACTATAATGTATGGCGGAATACCACAGCAAGTGATTGGGAGCACTTCGACTCGGCGTAGTAATATCATCACTAGGGTTGGGTATCGAGAATCGAGTATCGATTGGAACCGAGACTAACTTTTCGTTTTTCCCGGAATCGTTCAAAAGTAAAAATTTCGATTCCTAGTTTCGATATTCACAGTCCGCCGAGCGGAAAAAGAAACCGCTGAACAACACCAACGAAGAAGCGTCTACCGGAAGTGTTGGCATAACCACGCGAGTCGAACATGAGTACCTTACGTCGGTGATCCAAAGTGTGGCTTCACTTTTCTTAAAATAACGAAATCTCGGCAAAATGCTAAATTTGTGACAAAAGGAGTATTTTTACAGAAGGAATATTTCCTTCAGAAAGGATTATTTCCTTCAGAAAGGCCGTTGGTTAGCAAGGTTAGCTAAACTTTTTTGACCCTGCCTCTTAAAAGAATCGGAATCGAGAATCGTTAGGAACCGGAATCGAAACAAGGAATCGGAATCGGAATCAGAATCGTTCAAATTTAAACGATACCCAACCCTAATCATCACTCGTGAAAAGTTCTCTCACTCTCCGGAGAGATGATTTTTTACTGCGCCGAGTCCATAGATGTACGTATATGCGCCGAGTCGAAGTGCTCCCAATCACTTGCTGTGGTATTCCGCCATATATTATAGTTATACACTACATATTTTTTAAAGGATTTTTATCCGAAGCCCCTTTCGTATTATATAATGAAATTCCAAAAATGTATTTTTAAAATCTAGAAAAACTTATCTGCCTCCTAATTAGTGGTGGTACCATTAGGGTTAAAGCCCAATTGCATGTATGTGGTCAGTTGGGCAATTGCAATTCCCTTTAGTGGTTTAATTTTAATAGGGGATCCCTGCATGTGTAGGAAACCACCTGAAGCCTCTGTTAGTTCAGTCGTTGGAATCAACTTTATTTTCAACACCTCCACTCCTTTCCCAAAACTGTTTGTATTGGACTCTTAAATCAAATGTCTTGGTTGAACTTGAGCGGGCGGTTATAAAAATACAGCCCCCAGTGAGAGATAGCCATGAGGAAATGAGCACAATGTGCACAGGCCTCCTGTTCAGGACCCCTTTATGACAAGCAGACCCCTGTCTGTCTTTAGACCTAAAGCTCTCTCACCCAGTTATTTATAATGCGAGTTAGTCCGCACCCCACAAGCCACAAGTTAATTAATCACAGTTTGTTTTGGCAAGACTTCGCTTTGTCTGCTTTTATCAGGTGATATCAGAAGAGTATCCGATGCGACCGTTTTTTCCTTTTTTCCTGACGTTGTCGGACATCCTCTAGCTTTAAGCGATTAGTACATGAAATAGACGCACTTTTATCAGAGTCTCTCAAACAGTTGCTAATAGTGAGCCCATTCATTTCCTCATCTCATTTCCTGCCATTGCTCGGACTTTTTCTTGAATTGACATCATCTTTGTCCTCCTTTTCCCGAGATATCAGACATTGTTGTAGATTTAGATGTTTTAAAAGCGACCTCTGTTACCAAAAAGGCTTGTTAAATGGCAGTCTTTAAAGTGAATTAACTTTTGCCACTCTGTACTTTGGAAGGGATTTTGGGAGTTCTGCTGCTTTTTCTTCCTAAAAGCAGGAGCTGTATTTTTAAATGTCCCGTGTGTTCTCTTTACTGACCCATGATTAAGTTTTTCTTAAGGGAACCCAGTTTTTTTTTCACCAAGCTTTCCTTGTTAGTCTTCCCCCTGTCCAATCTACTGCAATTTTCAAACTTAATTATAAAAGACCTCAGAAAGAAGGGGGCGAAAAACCTGAAAAATGATCCAATATCCTCAGGTTTGTAAATGAATAATGAGCCTGTTGAGCTGGGAGGGTCGTAAAAACAGACATCCATCGCGTGGCCACACTTACGGAAGCAGAACAGAGGCGGCGTTCACGACTTGTTTGTGGAAGATGCTTCTTGCTTGGTTCTTATAAAATGACCTCTGAAAGGGATCTCGTATTGAAAAATGTTCTTCGATGGCTTCTGAAAGTTCACACTGCTTACCGGCACCGTTGAGCAGATCAGAGTTCCACTTCCTGGAGATTTCCCATTTGTGTTCCTTTAAATGTTGTCGAAATGCCCTTTGGTAGCTGGCGGAGTAGATAAGAAATGACAGCGAGGATCTGTGGGTCAGAAGCACAGGCATTCATCGTTGCATTTGCACATCAAGCTTTAAGAGGGGAGTGTGCTGGGAAATGGCCTCCGGGTAGGGTATCCCCTGAGTCATCTTGAGAAGGGGTGAACGGAGGCCTGGGTTCGTGATTGATTGGTGCTGGTTGAGCCACACTTTTTTAAACTTTAATCACAGGTCAAAGCAGAGATGAAGTGAGACCTCTCACACACAAAAGGCCCTTTTGACTCCCCAAGCTCCTGATGTCCAGGAAGGGAATGTGTTGTTTGGCTATATTTTATTAGCCCTTTTGATATGGAATTGATGGAGATTATGTTTTTGGTACTGTGCTGTTTACATTTTGTCTACATCTGAATGTTAGTTGTCCATAGAATGTGCATTCATCATATTTTGTTTCTTATGCTTTTCCAGGTTTAGTAAGCCAGCTTCCATGTTTCTGGACCGAAACTTTAGGCGGCTTGCAAAAGTTACCAACTATTTACCTCCATTTGGATTTAAAACACAAGGTATGTTTTTTTTTAAAAATAGATTTGTTGAGGTTGACTTTGCCCTTTAACAACAATGTTCTCCAAATGCTGTCCAAAAACCAGTTCTTTTAATGAACCGTTTTAAACGACAAGTTAATGATTTGAATCGGGATGAAGCACTTCTTTAGAGGTCTGCTCCGGATGGATTCTTAGTCTCGCTCCCGCTAAATTATTTTTCCACATTTTTTTTTTTTTTAATATTGTGTCCTGTTTCCGCATGCAACTTCCACATTTTGTCCTGTTGGACCTTGTGTGGAGTTTTTTTTGTCTTCCTCTCTCGTAAGATGCAGTCTTGTTTCGTTGCCACAGACTAGGGCTGCACAATATTGGAAAAACTGACATTGCGATATGTTGTTTTTTTGATATATATTGCGATATGAAAACAATTTCACCAATTGTAAATAGCCTCTATGCACGATCGCTTCTGGGTTTGTCTCAGCACGGCCAGTTACATCCGGTGCTGTGTCAGTCTATGGTCAGAAGCCATTTTTGCGTTAGGTGGAGATAGTGTCAAATTACACTTGCTGTTTATAAAAACGTCCTGCGGTTAACGTGAATGATGTTAACACTGTGAGGCAGTTAGCTGTCACACAAGAGTAGAAAAGATAAGTTATTTAAGTTATGTATTTCGAGCTACATCAACAACTTTGAGGGTTAGTATTCTCTCATATCGTACAAAATTCAACTAGCGAATCAGCGTTTCTAAAATCGTTGTCTCCGTAATTAAAGTTTTTCCGCTATACACTTGGCCTGCAGAACGCGCTTCCGGAAGTAAAGATGCTGACTGAGATTCTTTCGGACATGTCAGCAGGGTTCGTGCATAGAGCCTATTGTGAATTGTAAAATTAACCAATTGTAATTTTCACCAAAGGTAAAATAACACTGCATAGTCTTCACTTTATAAATTAAATATAATGATTTTTTGTTAAAGCTACAAAAGTGATTTGTTTTTTAAATTGTTGTTTGATTAACATTGAGACAGACGGCAGCAGGAATATGAGGCTGCTGTCACTTTAAAGGGCGTTACAATGGTCAGAGTTGTTTACAGTGTTAAAGAGATGGATTCTCATCCTAAACATGGCCAAAGTTTAAAGGAGCTGTATGTAAGATTTCAAATAATCATAAAATGGCCCTGATATGTCACTAGACATTAAGAAATCATGTTCATTTCAAATACTTATATCACTGACAACAGTAGTCCAGCCAGCATATTGTCATTTAAAAGTGAAGTTGGAGCCCTCAACTGATGTTGTCATGTTGTGTTTTGGTCTGATACAGTTCCAGTACACACCACATAGAGACGATCTGAGTCGGGATCAAAAATGTATGGTTGAATCTGATTGTTAGCCATGGTTTGTTTTGGGATGTCACAGCTTCCAGACGCTCTCAACGGAAAAGCTTTGCGCACTCGTAAATATTTAGCTCCGCCCACACTGCATGCCTCCACCCACACGTTTTTTTTTTTACAGAATGACTCTTTCTTTTATAAATATAATAAAACTAAAGACTTTTTGGAGATATGAAGGATGCAATACCACTCCATAGGTACTCAAGATTAACATGAAATTGACTGACAAGATTAACATGAGACCAGACCGGTGCGTCTCACAGGTGTTTCTCATCGGTAATCACGCCACCGGCCTCACATCGTTCTCCCGCGGCCCTCACTCGTCCTGCTCGCCACAGTAAACAGAATGAATGGCGACTGTAGAACGCAAAAGCCGAATCCCGGATATTTTTGGTGATCTCAAAATCCCGGGAAGACTCATCATGGAGACTCGCTAGTAGCCTAGACCTGTTTAACTACTGCGCTCTTTTACCGGTAGGCGTGGCCTCCTAGAGCAGCGAAACAAGTGCATTCTGGGAGTTGTTGTCTTTCATCCACATAAGGCAAAAATACATTTTCTGGGTTTTTTCAGTCTAGAAAGCTCTAAATTAAAAAATAATTTCATATTTCTTTCTACATAAATTACCCATTTTAAATACACATTAATTTTTCCAGAGGTGATGTGGTGAAGGTGAAGACTTTGAAGAATATTTAAGCAAAACGGACAAAACAGACCCAAATAAAATAATGAAATTAAATCTGAATCCTATCTGGAATATTACTGGACAATAATAAGTCTCTGGTCACAAAAATGACTCCCGTCATAAACTCCAAATATTTTAAACTGTGAGCGATCATGTTTCTTTGTAGCAGTAGGATGCCAAACTCTTACTATGATCAACCATTGCCGGTTCAAGACAGGAATGACCCTGATATTAATAGTGTCTGAGAGAAAACCCTCAGTTGTGTGTACGTGGCCTGATGTAATGCACAGCATGGCAGACATTTATGTACTTCAGTGATGCGGAGGCTTTATTCCATTCAACAGAGAACAAGAACTTCATTCTACTGAGCTTTGTGAATGTATCAAAGAGAATGAGACATTCTGAGAAAGACCTGCAGATAAGAAAACGGTTTCTTGAAACCAATTGGTTGTTAATGTAATCCTCCGTTGTCTGCTCAGTTTTTTTCCCCCCTCCATCTGAAAAGACGATTACATCTTAGATTTCAGCACATTGTCAAATGTTCCAGCACTTGAGGGCAACGGGCACATAAGGGTACCTTGAATGTAACCTTTGTGTTCGGTTAAGGGCTGCCGTGTCCACACACATGAAGACTTTCAAAAGAGCAGGTCCCATGTTTACATTACACCTGGTTTCTGTTTGCTGCACGGATCGTGAGCCTAGCGTGACTTCGCTTTTAACTTTATTCATTTGGATAGCTGATACGTGTGGTTCTTGAATAGAGCTTGACAAAGGTTCTCGAGTCGTGGGCCAGAAAGGCATAAAAATAGATGTCTTATTTCTGCACTACCAATTCTGATATAAGCGATCCCTGCGGCCACCTACGACTTTGTGATTTCTGCTCTTGATTACGTCGCCCTCAGTGGAAAACATTCAGTCAAAGCATTGCAGATGGTTTTGTCGAACGTAAGGTAATCCCAACATCCTTTAAAGAAGGGAGAACCGAATACCTCAAAGGAGAATAAACCATTAGGGCTGTTTTGACTGTAAGTTTGGCCTTTTAAGTGCGTTACAGTATTAAGTAGCCTCTTAAATGTCTCCAGTGACTCAGGATGAAGTGTCACTCTTAGTTACTTTGGTGAAGTTCCTCTAAAACTCACGATGAATTGTTTAAATAGTTTATGAGCGTGTTTGATCGGTTTTTAAACAAACAAAAAAAAAAGCTTCTTGACAAACATTACATGAAACAAATGTCATTATGTGACTCCAGATGGGGTTTTTTTTTCATGTTCTCAAAGTATTTGCATTGTTTCTACTTTATTTCAGGGCATGATTTCCTTTTGCCAAAACAGTGCAAGTTGAGGATGAGGGACTTGTTTGGTTAAACTGCCAAGAGTGATACTTGGCTGAAATGTTCATAACGTTTATCTGAAAGCAATTCAAACCTATTGCTCTTCCCATTTCTTTGTGAAACCCATATCACAACAGATATCAGGGTTTCAAAAAGAAATGTGTATAGGTTTGAAATTTGAATTGTTTTCAGATAAACATTTCAGCCATATATATATATATATATATATATACTGTATATATGAAGAGTTCAGATGCAAAAGCCTCTAAATGCCATTTGAAATTTTCTTCTAAAATGATCATTTTTATCAAGCTTGTATATTTAAGTTCAGTAATTTCACTTAAATGGCAATGAAGATTACCTATTAATTGTCATTTAAGTGAAATTACTGAACTTAAATATACACGCTTGATAAAAATGGTCATTTTAGAAGAAAATTTCAAATGGCATTTAGAGGCTTTTGCATCTGAACTCTTCATATATATATATATATATATATATATATATATATATATCAGTGGCGGCTGGTGAAAAATATTTGAGGGGGGGCTGAATAAGAGGGGGGTCTGGGGGCCCCCCCCCCAGAAAATTTTTAATTTAGTAGATGTGATTTCCTGCATTCTGGTGCATTTTAGGCCCTAGGCCATCCCCTTACCTATACCAATAAAATAACTTAAACCAGTCAATACCAATGGTCAAATAATACAATAATAATAATAACAGTTTGACAGTTACTGATAATGAACAAGTTGCATGTTTATTATGCTCTGTGTGCTGACAGAAAAAGTGCAAACGCATAATATTGATAAATTATAATATAGGTAATACAAAAAATAATAGGTAATACAACAATCTAGTTTAATCAATCCCCAGCTGTAGACTACATATTTTTGACAAATTGACAATTGGATAATGGATAACAATGTGTTGATACTAGAGAAAGAGAGAGAGAAAAGGCTGTGAAAGAGAGGGTGGGACAACATTCTTAAGAGTAACACCCAAGTATGAGAAGAAAGTTGATTTTAACTAGCTCAGAACTTAAAAACATTAAAAACAAAGCAAACACACAGGTATTAATATTCCTATAACTATTTTAATATCAAATGTGTGTGAAACAGTGTTTATGTGTGTGTGAGTGAGTGAGTGACAGAGACAGACAGGTCAATTCCCACGACTTACTTTACATTTTTTCCACTCGACGTCACTGGCGCTGCCATTCTGCTCTCACGGTGCACTCCCCTAATCTGATACTGTGGGCGATATTTTCAGCGCCCCCAAACCATAAAATTTGACGACGTTGATTGGCGAAATATTAACTTTTTTGCATAGCAACCGGGGAACTATTGGCTTAAATTCCAGCACTGTGGGGCTGAGCGAACTGGCGCCCTGAGAAGACAGCCTATTGGCTACTACTACACCAACATGATAAAAGAAACGAAAGTGAATACAAATATCATTCTGGTGAGTTCAAAACACTTTTCAAAGTAAAAGCATTATTAGCATATAATTAACATTGATTATTTTTCAAAATGATAAATTATAATATATATTAAAAAAACAGACAGACAGGTCAGAGGGAGGGCGGCGCCCCAGCGCCCTCTATGGGCGAGCCGCCCCTGATATATATATATATATATATAAATATATGTATTCGTTTTGTATTCCAGTGTGGTCCCGACGCTGTTTTTGCAGAGCGTGGTGATGCTTGATGAGAGCCGTCAGCACTTTGTCCAAACAATGACGGCTACTCCCTGCTGCTTTTTAATCATTCAGGTCACAGTTTAGGGTCAATGCAGATTTCCAGCTCTTACGTTAGCTTTCACACTACACCGACTGTTGCAGTTCTGGAGGATGAATCAATTTACAGCAGGTTTTTACATGCTGTATTATTGAAATCACATCCATTCACTTCAAACCAAACCACAGGAATACATTGGTGCATCCTATTATGTTTGCCTCTCAATAACATAGCGTCTATGGCAATAAAAAAGATAATCTCACATGTGAGCTCTTTGTTGTCAGAAACTGTAATGGTAGTCATTAGGGTAGATGCTTTCAAACCACCGGACGAGGAAAAAAAGGAAGAATTATGTACAGATGTAGATTTGGCGCCTCACAAGTACTGCAAAGTGCCTAGCAGACCTCCCAAAGTGCTTGATTCTTGTTCATTGGAATATAGTTAAGGTCAAAAAAGTGTATTGGGAAAATGGGCAAGTCCGTACTCCGTACTCCTTGAATTAGCACTTTTTCAATCCGTTTTCTCATCTCTGGCCTTTTATAGTATGCATACGGTGCTTTATTTACCTCAAAGGATCACACTAATGCAACCTTACTAGGAAATCCGGTATCTTCGCTGATATCAGGCGACATAATCTGTGGCTTCCACGAGGGTATCGAAGGAATGATCGCTATGACCAAACAGCTCTGTAAATTTACATCACGAGGTGACATATTAAAGGCATTGGAGAGCATTAAATTGAAGTCTTTGGCACTGGAATTTTACTTGTTTGCAAATGGCATTCCACTTTTACAGACTGTTTTTTCCAAAGTGTCAGTAACCTATTTTCAGTTGCTAATACAACTTCCAGGAGCCTCCAAGCAAATAATACAATCATGCTTCTCCATCAGACCACCAGGAGTGTAGATGACTGAGAAAATCATTCGAGTCAGATTAGAGCCGTAACCATTTAGAGATGTTTTTGTGTCATCTTTTTTTGTTTTTTGTTCTATCTTGTCTCTCTCTCTCTCTCTCTCTACAGAAAGAATCATAGATGTTATATTATCTTCCACAAAGAATTATGGACTGGGTCCAAATTTGGATAGGTAAGACTTTTTTTAAATGCATCGCTCACTATAAATTAATTTTCCTAAATGTCCTGAACAGGTGTCTTTGATATGTTGTAGATTTGTATTTATGATATTATTGTTCCAAAGTTTGAGGTCTGAATGTTTTCTTGTTGTTGTTTTTTTTAGGTTTTTGAAATAAGGCTTTTGCTCACCAAGGGTGCATTTATTTCAATAAAACATTAATAATACAAACTATTATTTCAATTCAAAATAACTGTTTTCAATTTAAATATATTTAGAAATGTAATTTTATCCTGTGATAGTGAAGCTGAATTTTCAGTATCACTAATCCAGTATTCATGTCACATTATCCTTCAGAAATCACTCTAATATGATGATTTGATGCCCAAGAAACATTTATTATTGTTGTCAGTGTTGAAAACAGTTGTGCTACTTAATATATTTGTGGAAACAGTGATACCTTTTTTTTTCTTTCAGGAGGCATTTAATTGAAATGATTTTTTTTTTTTTAAATAATGTAAATGTATTCATGTATAGACATTTTTGATCAATGTCAATGTCATCTTTATTTGTATTGCACTATTAAAACAACACAAGTTGACCAATGTGCTTTACATTCTCACTATAAAATAAAATAGAGACATACTACAATACTAATAGCATAAGAATAAAAATAGAATAACATAAAAACATTTAAGATGAATAGGCCATGGCAAACAGATATGTCTTAAGTTGTGCTTTAAAAGCATGTACAGAGTCGGCATCCCTAACATATGATGGCAAACTATTCCAAAGTCTTGGTGCTACTACTGCAAAACCAATCAATTTAATGCATCCTTGCTGAATAGAAGAATTAAATTGTGTATTTGTGTATTTTTAATGTGTATTATGCATAAAATGTTCTGATTGACTCTGATTGTCATGGTTTGCATAACACATGTATATAGTGTATCATCTTTTTACCTGACGTTTTTTAAACTACAGTTATAGGCAATATCAGTTTAGGCTTGTGTCGGTTTTAATAGATGAATATATAGTTGTAAAGATGTATGCAGGTTTTGTAATAATGCCACTTGTTTTCTCATATGTTCTCTTTGCAGTTTGAGTTGTAAAAGGTGTGTAATAGTAGGTAATGGCGGTATCCTTAGCAACAAGTCTTTAGGATCCCGCATCGACGAATACGATGTTGTAGTAAGGTGAGTGCCCACAGTCACCATGTTCTGCTTTTTTAATGTCTAAATCAAAAACAAAAGGATTGTAGACACAAATGCAGCTGATTTGCACTTTTTAGACTCAACGAGGCCCCAGTGAATGGTTACACCAGAGATGTAGGCACTAAGACCACCATGAGGATCACCTATCCCGAGGGGGCCATCCAGAAGCCTGAACGCTATGAAAAAGATTCCCTCTTTGTCTTCTCTGCTTTCAAACCTCTCGACTTTAAATGGTTGAGACAGATGGTCAACAGAGAGAAACTGGTAAGACCTTATTTCCCTCAGTAAAATCTCTATTGTTTTTGGTTTACTTGTTAAGGTCTCCTTATTTATTTGAGTGTGAGGTAGAATGATTCCAGTTGTTTTTACAGGCCCATTTTCTGCAATATATTTTGTTGAACTTTTATTAAACTTGAAATCATTCATGAATTCAGAGTAATGTTAATATTGCCCTCTAACCACAAAATTGTAAATTCAGTAATTTTTTTTGTAAAAGGATTTTTTAAAGAAATATCTATAGAAGAAAAGGCTTCTATTGTTCAAGGACTTCCGTCTCATTTTTAGCAAGTGGTAAAACATTCTCCTTCCAGGTTTGACTGACACCTTGTGAATTAGCCTCTTAATCAGGTGGGTCGGCACGTCTGAATGAGCTCTCTCTTATCTCACACAGTTTTAATGGCTCTGCCTCCATCCCATTTCTTATCACACAAAGAGCAAGCATAAGCACTCTTTTCTCCTCTGGAGTCGGCTGACTTGGCTACTCAAGGACGGGTTTTTTTCATTTCCAGTCTTCTGCCATGTAATCATGGTCAAGGCGTTTGGTCGAGGCGTGTGTGGTTTCTCCCATAATCTCCCTTTCCGAATAAACTTGTCTTCCTCGGCTGCACATCTGCTTGTTTTCCCCTGTTGTCAAGTGGGAATCTGACGGCAACGTGCCTCAGGAGTTCCCGGGCCAACACAGCTGCTGGGCTTTCAGGGGACCAGCGCTGGATTTTTTTTTTTTTTACTGGATGACATTTGTCTATGTGCAATAGACTTGGCAGAGGAAGAAAAATAGAGAGCTATTTGATCACCCTTCCTCCCCTATGGCCCCTGAAAAGAGCCCGATTTGTCTGAACATCTGATCGTAACAAGCTGGACAGTGGAAAGTGCTCAGATAATTGATCTGCCCTCTGACTTCTGATACATTGGCTTTGATCCCATGGAAGGAAGAATTTCCTTCACCAAATGAGGGGTCAAGAAAGCTCCAATGTGTCTTCCATAATGTTAGAAACAGCATTCAGAGGATGGTGACTGATGAAAACCATAGTATTAGGTAACAGAATAGCTTTTTTCACCCTGAAAATGGCAAATTGAATGTTCATGCCATTCTGGAATCTAACGGGGAGGTTCTTGGTTTTTAAAATGGTTGTAAATAGGCAGTATTTATACATCCAAGATAATGCAAGAATATTCTAGAGACTTGACATTGGCTTATTAAGCTTAAGCTTAAGCCATAATAAGCTTTGGTATGCAACTCGTCCTTAGTGAATTAGGTTTACATGCACACCAAAAATCTGCTTTTTGGCAATGTTACAGGCAAACGTTTACATGTGCTTTTACTTTTCTAAGCAATCACAATAATACAATTGGACTTTTATCCGATGGATAGTAAAATGGGCAAAATAAACTACTTTGCCTTACGATGAAAGAGGGACCCAAGCCATATCTAGAAACAGAATATCACCGAGACCACCCAGAATACCCTCGCAACCACATAGCAATTGACATAAACCACTAAGAACACCTTAGCAACTGGATAAAAACCCCTGGCAGTGCTTTTTGTTCAGGCAAGCAGCGCTCCGATTTTCTTCCGAAAAAGCAAAAATGCAGTTCCTGATTGTTTTTCTTCCTCCGGCAGACAGCCACAGCTGTAAAAGATGTTTATATCCAGCTAGTCTTCGTGACCTCCCGTGCATGTATTAAGTTGTAAGAGTATCATGTTTAAAGTTGAGTTTTTAACCGATTGTCACTTGACAAATGAAGCCCATCACTATTGTGAATTCTTACAGATGAAAAACGACTGACTTCTATTCTTCTCTCTTGATCAACGTCAGACTCCGAGAGCCCCTCGCATTCCCTCGCTCCCTTCTCAAACAGTTTAACTTTGGCTGTGTTTATTTTTAACTGGCGAAGGGTGGTATTTTAGGGCCAGATGAAAATCTGACTAAGCGTTTATCTAGTTTGTGCTCTCTATACGTACTGCAGATGTTTCTTTGAGTAATTTGAGTAATCTCTAAACAATAACAGCCATTCATCACCGTGCTTAATCACACATAATCTTATCAAACACTGTGTCCCTAACAACAGTATACAGTTCATCTCATGTTTGAAAACAAATACATTCCCCGCAGGCCGCTTCCAAGTCTTATTTAGATCTTACGACATATCTTTGAAAATTTCATTGCTGTAATGAAAAATCCCGTTGATTGACGTGTGGTGATGTTGCTGCTACTTTGCCAAAATATAAACGCTTCCCTTTATTGGCAGAAACCTGGTGGTGAAATGGAAAACGCTTTGTTTGTGCAAGCGGTGACAACAGCGATTGAGATCCATTGTGTGGCGACGTCTTTCATTTGGAGATGAACACATAAAGGCATGTGCGACTGTGTGGGCAGTTGGCTTTAGAAAGGCACGTAGCTTTAGACTTCAGTGTAATCCTTGACTAGCACTGACTCCTCACTCTCTTCCTCTCAAACAGTCACACTGATGTAACTTTGAACAGTGGCTGCTTGCAGCTTTGAACATTTTTTTTTTTTTCTCTCTGCTATTCTTTTGTACGGGTGGAAGGAATGCCAACCTTTTCAGTTCGTAACTTCGTATTGACAGAACAGTAGACGGATGTCTTCCCAGCATCTTCCAAGAATCTCGCTGGAAGTTACCTGAATATTATACTATGAGGCATGAGCGCTCTTCACAAATGCAACCACCTGTTAGTTGAATTATTGCGTTTTGATGAAAGATTATGAAGACAAACAATTATGTTTTTGGAATAACATGCATGTGATGAATTTTTAACAGTTATACCTGATGAAGGATCGTCAGACATGTCTGATGAAGGGCTTGGGCCCGAAACGTTACACGTACACGTGGTGAGCAACCATTAAATTTGCTTAGAAGCATCTTCTGGTGTGCAGACTTATGGTTTACTTTTGTTGCTACCTGACTGCCCAGCACCCAGTTTTATTGTTTTGGATGTGCGTGCTACACCTCTTGAACTATAAACTATAAAATCAAAAATTAGCCATTGTAACAAGGTTAGGTGTAATGGGAAGAATTGGGCGGGAACCGGCGAACATTCCAACAAACTTACGAAACAATACGAAAGTAAAGGCGGCAGCTCCTCGCGGCCGACTGCCGCCACATATAAACAAAACAACATAAATAGTCCAGGCCTGGTCCTCTCTCATCCTTCACTGCCGTCGCTCCTCCTTTTATGCTTCCGCTCTTCCGTGAGAGATACGAGACTGTTCACATTTCTTAGTGCATTGGTCTTAGAGTGTTGCAGGTCTAACATATATTTGTTACCCAAAACCCAGGAACAAACTGGGATTTTTAAGTTCCATCATCCTAAAGTCAATGGATTTTTTTTAGTCCGTTATTAGTCAGTTTTTGGTCTGTGGTGTTGTTGGGGTTTTTTTTATTAATCTATTTTTTTTTTTTACCTTTATAATCCTGAATTAAAATGTCACATCTTGATTTTTTGTGAAAAGTGAAAATAATTTTCTGTGGTCACAGAGTTTTGATCTCAGTACATTACTTTCAAACTTAACGCTCGACACAACTCGGATTTGTTAGCTCCATAAATGCTTCACATTGTTCTCCTGATTTCACCTATTTTAGTCATTCAAAATGGATTAACGCCTCAGAGGTCACTGATGTAGAAAACACAAATACGAGCCTGATTTGAAAACGGGCAATGGGCTAGCCGTCATGTGTGATAAGAGCCAACTTAATTAACGAGTCCTAGAGTTCACGGAGGAGCATGTGGCTCCCACGATAATTATTTTCATTCAGAATACCATTGACTAGGTAATCCTCTGGCTTCTCTCTGAATATATTTACCCATCACTTCTTTCTTCCATATGTCTTAATCCCTTATTATTTCAGCCTTACATGGTAAGAGCAAGGCAAAAGTGTGTCACTTATCAGACACTCCTTCAGGCTCCTTCGGTTTGGCATTTATTGAAGGTACTTTCCGTATGTCGGCGTGTTGCATAGTATTGCCAGTTGTATAATAGTTTCCCCGTTGTATCTTGTTGGTTTAGTTTGTAGTAGCTTTATTTGTATGTAACTCTTGGAGTACACACTGTTGTGTGCATGACTATCTTTGTTGATGCCTGTGGAGAGCGTGCCTTTGTTTACTCACGAACCCTTAAGGAAAGGTGACTCATGGCACTTTTGCGAAATTTTAAAGGGATAGTTCACCCAAAAAAATGTGTCAATTTACTCATCCTGGAGAATTTAAAAACAATCGTTGACAGTCTTTTTAATATGAAGAGGACCAAAGTGAAAGAGCACCAAAAAAAGCTAAAAGCAGCATAAGTACTGCTAATAAAAAGTACTGACATGGCTTGTTAACTATATTAAAGTCAATGGCATTATGTGAGAAATGGACTGACATTTGTTGCTGTTGCCTGAAATTGTTGGAATCTGCCCTACCTGGTGTTCATGAGCGAAACAGCGATGACTTATTCATGCACGAGTCATTCTTTGCAATTAATCCGTTGATCCAATTCACAAAACTGCTCTAAATGAGTCATTCATTGATTTAACAGCCCACTAGAAGGGAAGATTATCAGGGAAGAATGATGCACAGTGAATAATAATCAGGGAATAATAGTGCGTTCTTTTGAAGCTTGAAACGGGCTTCATGAAACCTTTTATTATTTGTCACTTTTTATTATTGCGAGTCAGCACTTTTGATCTCTTTGTAGCTTGATTGCAAGTCAGCATTTTCAAGCCCTTTGTAGTGGTGTTTTTGTAAAAAAGTGTCTGTTTTTAGAGTTGTTTGCAGGTGTTGTCTCTCCATTTGACCTAATGGGGCAGCAAGCCAGGGGTTAACAAGGGGACATGGGGTTGTTTGCTTCTGAACATGCCAACAACCAGGCTTTCATCAGCCAAACAGTCACTATGTCTCTGTATTACATTTGAGGCAGTATAAAGGTACCAGACCTTTTAACCAGTCATTTGCTTAGGGTATAGTGCCAGTCTCTGATGACATA